ATGTGGACAGCAAGACAGGCACAGGTTAGAATTTCTGACAGGTTCATTTGGGTATTCTCTTGGCACAAAAAGAGCGTATGTATATCCCCCAGCAAGAATTTTGTGGACACAGCTTTCAGGAGTCCTCCTCTTGAGTCACCCTTTCGCAGTTTGGACCAAATGCCTTCTTTGTCTTTCCCATGACTGTACCCCTGTGATCTCTTCAGGCTCATCTTTGAGATTTTTATCTCTCACCTATGTTGAATGTCTCATTTTCTGTATTTCCCATCTCTCCTGCTTTTATTTACTCCTTTGTTTAGCTGGAGCCCATTTTCCAGTAGTTTCTTGGGGAAAAGTTTGTATGAGAAGTAACATAGACACTTTGTATGTATGATAATATTTTATAACCATCCCAGCACGTGATTGATAAGTGACTTATTGGAAATAGGTTTCTTCAGAAGTTTGTGGCCGTTTTTCTGTCTTCATCTTGCTTCTGGTGTTGCTGCTGAGAGCCCAAAGCCAATTTTACTTTTGATCCTTTGTATGTGATCTGTTTTCCCCCAGTTTTATACAGCGTTCTTTGTCTATGCTGTTCTAAAAGTTACAGTAGGATGCCTTGGTGGGTGTGTTTTCATCCTTTAACTGGCTTTCAGTAAGCTCTTTTAATGTGGAATGCCTTTTTCTCTGGTTCTGGGGAATTTTCTTGGATTATGTGTTGGTGATTTCTTCCCTGCAGTTTCTCACTACTCTCTCTCTCTCTCTCTCTTTCTCTCTCTCTCTGTTTCAAACTTGTATTTTGGTATATGGGAACATCTGTCTTGGCCTCTCATATTCTTTCTACTTTCTCCTTGATATTTTAGAGGATTTCTCAGCTTTACCTTCTCTTGTTAAATTGTTAGTTTTGGTAAATATTTTTGTTGTCTTAAATTTTCAATAGCAGCTTTACTCTCTGTATATTTTCTTTGTATAATTTTATTTTCCTATCAGAACGTGCTGTTCTTGTTTTCTGGATATTGTATTCTTCTTGTCTTCCCAAAAGATATTAAAGATAATTTTCTTCAAATTTTTCTCCCTAGGTAGTTTGTTTCCTTCAAGTATATATTTTTTCTATTTATTTTAGTCTGTACTGTCGTGTTAAAGTGTTTGCTCAGATACCTTCTCTCTACTCTTAATAAAGAGCATGCCAATTAGAAGCTTGCATGCAGGGAGGCTTATGAACTTTGGGCTTCACTGTGGGGTGATTTAGGGATGTTTCATTAGGGAACCCCCTTGTGTGTCCATGTTTTCATCTTTGCTCATGGCCCACTCAGAGTCCCAGAGAAGTGGTTTCATTTTTCTCTCTAGAGCTGAGTTGTTTAGTGTCTAGACACTAGCCCTATGTGGATCTTTAAATTTAAATAAAATTAAATCAGAACTTCAGTTCCTCAGTAGCACTAGTCACATTTGAAGTGCTCAACAGCTACATGCAGCTGGTAGCCGCCTTGTTGGACCTCATGGCTGCTGAACACTTTCATCATTGCGGAAAGTTCTGTGGGATGGCATTGGCCTAGGACTGATGGTCTCATTGCCAGCCAGGGAAGATAATCTGAAGTCTCAGTAATCAGGATTCATATATGGTCACTTAATTCCACTGTTCTTACAGTGGGTAACCATGCCCACAAGTGTTCTTACGCTAATCAGCCAGCCCTGCCCTGCCTTCACCAGACACTGGACCTCTGGGTTTCTGCTGGGCTAGGGATGGCTGTTAATCCAGAGTTGTGGGGAGAGAAGAGGGTCTAGACACCTAATCTTCTTCATTTTGCCAAGCTTCTACTGATCCTCATTTGTGTCTGCAAGTACCTGATGCAGGCAGTTCCTCATTCTGTACTTTTTTATTTCATTGGTCTTTTCAGATCTGCCATGGTAACACTTGGTTTCCTGCTTTTTTTCCAGCTTTTAAAATGTTGTCCCTTTTTTGGAAGAGGAGGTGTTACTCTTTTTATCTGTAGGAATAAGATTTTAAAATGTCTTTTCATTGTAGTATTAGTAATGTTTTTTGAGAGAGTGAAATTAATTAGATACTTCGTCTTTTGTTTGTCTGTTTTTGTTTTTTCTTTGAAACAGGGTCCTGCTTTGTAGCCCAGGCTGGCCTTGAACTCTCAGTTCTCCTGCTTCGGGCCCCCAAGTGTTGGGATTAGAGGCATGGGCCACACATGCATGCCCAGCTAGTTAGAACTTCTATAGATGTTTTATTGTTTTTAATTGTTGGAATTCATCTTTTATGTCCTACCCCTTTTTTAATCAAAATTAATATTATACATAAGCGACACTATAAAAATCAACTATAATGTAGTATTACAACACAGGTACCTCTCTCTGTAGTGTACATCTAGATAAAAATAGTAATCATATTCTAACATTTTACAACTGCCTCAATTTGGTTAACTCTGTGTTGTTATTCTAGGTGTCTTCTCTTTGCCCTCACATCTCTCTCAGATCTGCTTTCTATTGTCTGTCTCAGATGGCTGACTTGGGGCAGCACTGATCTCTGATTTCTGCTTGGATTTTCAAAGGGGATCTCTTGAGCCAGATAAAGGAGTGAAAGAAGATTGAGGAGAAGGTGTCTGTTTCTAGGCAGCCTCTTTGTAGTCTTGGGTTTACCATGCCTCTTTATTGAAATCAGACTTCTAAAAAATTTAAGTAGTAATACATTTATTTACCAAAAAATACATGTATACACTTTTTAAAATTTGGCTTATTAAGGCAAAAATAAGATCATACTATCCATAATGCTTTGTAGTTTGTTTTTTTTGCTGAACAACATATGACAGATACCCTTCCATATCAGACAGGATGAGTTACTTTATTTTTTTGAGTACTTGCTTAGTAGACCATAATTACTTAGTAGACCATAAAATTACTGTAAAGTGTTCTTTTCCCCTTACTGAGAGGGTTTTTTATCTCCTGTTGTCCAGTATGACAAATTATACATCAGTGAACAGCTTTGTTCCCATATCTTTGTGCATTTCTGTGAGTATTTCTGCATGGCAGAGATCTTGAAATACTGTTGTTAATTAAATATGCACATTTAAACTTTTGATAGGTTCTTTTTTTTTTTTTTGTCTTTTCCATTTTCTTTGTCTTTCTTTTGTGGTATTGGGGATTGAACTCAGAGCCTTTTCTCTGAGCTATACCCCCAGTACTGTTTCTCTCTTATGTTTTGTTATTTTGAGACAGAGTCTTGCTAAATTTCATAGGCTGGGCTTGAACTTGGGATCTTCCTGCCTCAGCCTCCCAGAGTGCTGTGATTATAAGCATGCTTCATCATTTCCAGCCGACAAATATTTATCATTTCCCTAATAGATGGTTCTAATGTTTAATCTTAGTAGCAGAACAGAGAAGTACTTTTGCACCTGTAGTCTTGCTAATGTTGAGTATCATAAATATATTTTTTTCTAATGAAATAGAAGGAAAATGGTGTTTCATTCTAATTTTTATTTCACTGATCACTAGTGAGCCTGTCTTACAAAGAATGGTAACAGGCTTTTTCATTAGACTATATGTGGATAATTTGTATATTAAATACACAAGAATCTATTTAACAGTATTTATGTATTTAAATATATAAGTTGGTATTTCTTTTTCTACTTTTTTGAAAAGCATCGGGGATTTCCAGAGCTTCATGTTTAGTAGACTAGAATGTAAGAAATGAAATTTCAGCATGAAGAGGTGGTCTGGTTTGTTAGGTACTTTATTAACCTCCCTCATTTTATGAATAAATTGATTTGCAATTACTTAAAAATATTCTTAGTTAATTTTATATTTTCTTAAGTCACTATTTACTTTTATGCTTTTAAATATTTTACTCTCTCTAGTTCTGTATTGTCTCCACTTTATTTTCTGGGAATGTCTTTGGCTTTAGGTCCTTTATCTCACCTATTTCGGTATAAACAGCATTGGGGACTTGTAATTAAGAGAACCAAATTTCTCATTTTTTCACCTATGAACACCACTAATATAATCAATACCTTACAGTTGAGGTTTTTGTGTAGGGTTAGATGAGAATGCAAAGTGCCTATTTTAGGACAAATTTGGCATTATCAAGAGGTATGGTAAGGTCCTTTTGAAACTTCATATTTATAGCACCTAGAGCCTGTCACTTCCTATGTGTAGCCTGCGAGAGCTTGTCACTTCCCCCAGCAAGTGGATATGAAGTTATGTAGAACAAACTTGCTGAAGTGCTGCAAAATTGCAGGTTGCTTCCATTCATAATTATTGGCAAATAGTTCAGTAAAGACAGTGAAGAGATTGACTTTTATTCATCCCTGCAGCTCATAAAGACCTAGTTAATGGCAAGTGGCCAAAGTTATTATTTTTAGAGTCTAATGTGAAGAATAAACATTTCTAGATTTAAGAAAAAATTATTTTTATTCTATTACACTCTGTTAAAATGCCATTTCTTTTACCTGTTCTCACCTCAAAGAAGCTGTTCTGCTGTTCTTTCTCCATTATTTCTACTTCTAGGTAGAAAACAACTATGAGATATTTTCAGATTTTGTGTTAGATAACATCCTGTAAAAGAAAACACATTATTTCATGATAAATACTAATAATGATTGTAAAACAGTTTTCTGAAACTAGAACTCCCATCCCTGGAGATGAGGTGTTTGCTCTGCTGAGAATATTAATTTTTAATGTACTTGAAACTTGTTAGACATATAGAACATGTTGGAGGGGTATGTCCGTGAAATTCATGATCTTGGATCTTTATCAGAGTCTTTTCTGTAGCCCTGTTATTAAAGATCGTTATAACTACGTATGGTGGCTCATGCCTGAAATCCCAACATTTGGGAGGATCATAGTGCATTTGAGCCAACCTAAGCTACATAGTAAGTTCCGGGCCAGCCTGAACTACAAAGTCATATGGTCTCAAAAAAAAAAAAAAAAGAAAAAAGATTATTATATTATATGGGTCATGCTAATTTGGAATCTGAGCAGTTAAATGTGTAATAACAATGTATCCTTTTTATTGTGTCTTTCAGAATCATGGTGTCCTGGAAAGGGATTTACTTTATACTCATTCTTTTTTGTGGAAGCTTTTTTGGCAGCATTTTCATGCTGGGTCCCTTTTTACCTTTGATGTTTGTAAACCCATCTTGGTATCGCTGGATCAACAACCGCCTTGTTGCCACCTGGCTCACACTTCCAGCGGTAAGTTGTTCACGGGAAGAGGAGGATGCTGTATGCCTGTACTGAAGTAATTCAGTGTATTGGTTTTATTTTGTTAGAGTCAGACTTGGATTATAGAGGAAACATAAGCTCATTGTATTATGTAAGGAGCATGTTAGACTGTAAAGGGGGAAACATAAAAGCTAGAGAGTAATAATATCTCATGTTCTAAAAATAATATTAAATTAAGAGCTACTTTCTATATTCATAATTTTAAAACAACTTTACATCATTGAGGCATATATTACATATGGGGAAGGACACAAATCTTAGAGGTTTAGATGGAAGAATTTTTGCATGATTACTTTTTTACATCATTTATTTTATTTTGGATTTCCATTTTATTTTTTTATAAGATAATGGCAAAAGTTAAGATTCATATAGCAAACTTTTTTTTGCTAAACTTGTAACATTATTGTGATTGACTGAATTCTTCCCAGTAAAACATTGATTTTGTATCTGTCAGACTAGGTTAATACCTGTAAGATTAAAGTGCAAGTTAAGTGTTTAGAGGCTTGCAAAACTCAGGTTCTCTCTGTAAAGCCCTGCACACTCCTCTGATCCTGAGCTGGTAACTGTCAGGTTCCAGCCTCCATACCACCCTCCTCTGGAAGTGACTTCAGTCCTTCCCTGTTGCTGCTAATCAGTAGCCTCTTACCAAGCCTCTGGCCCTTAGCCAAACTGAGTGAGGTATGTGCAGTTGTTTTTCCTTTGAATATTCAGGGTGTATTTCCTGAGTGTTTTCCGTTCCTTCTTTTTCCTGAGCCACAGCTGAAACTTAATGTTATACTAGGTTATCTGTCATGGAAAAGAGGTGATGAATATAGTACCTGAAAAGGAAAACAAGAAGCGAATACGTGGGAAAGGGTCTTCTTTACCTGAATTGCCAGTTTCCCCTCAGACTTTAGGCAGACTGCCTTTCCTTGTGATGTTTATAGTGAGGAAAGTATCAAGAGCTGGAGACCCGTCAGGTGGGGCTTGATCAGGTAATATTTCCAGAAACAGTGGTTGGCATAGGATTTCTACCTTTGTGGAGGACATTTTTCTTAGATGTTTCCTACAAGTGTTAATAAATCATTTACAGTGTACTTTTCTTTTTTGTGTGTTTTAAAAATGAATCCTTCATTCCTTGGTACAAGTTATATATATTTTTAAATTTTTATTCAGATATATCTGTTTTATGAAATGTGAATACTGCTAAACTAAAAGTGATTTTCTCTCTCTTCCCTCTTCCCTCTTGTCTTACTGTTCTCACTGCAGAGCCGAGATACCCAACACTCAAAGACAGAAAAAGGTTTCTTTCCATTCACAGTTTGTAGAGGCTCCAGTTCATAATTGGCTGGCTCTTAGGCAGGGTGGCATGGCAGACAGCATCGCAGAGCAGGCAGACAAAAGACAGCAAGTGACAAGGACCATAGCAGCCTTCTTTCTGTCCCTTCTGTTCTGTTCAGGCTACACTCACACCCAGGGAGGGCTTCTCTATCCACTCCCAGAAATACACCAGAGCAATCAGTGAACTAATTTAGTAATCACACACCCATTACCCCAGCATCACACTCTGGAGCCAGCCCCTCTGGAAAGCCCCACCTATGACCACATGAGGCTTTGGGGGGACATCTAGACACAAGCCATAACACCTCTCTTCTTCCCCGCTTTTCTAAACTTGTACTTAAAGTTGTCTGTCCCACGCACAGGCACAAAGAAAGAGATGCTGTTATAATAGTAGATAACAAAGAACCATGGCATGGTTGCATATTTAACTCAAATGAGAGGAGAATTAGGATGTTCTGTTAAAAGGAAAAATAAAAATAAAAATCTAGGGATAATGATGATAATAGCTATTGATCAGTTGTGTGGGAGATAGCTAAGTACTCAAGAAGGATGACTTCAAGTGCTACCATTATTTCTATTTTATAGAAAAGGAAATAGAAACTAAGGAATTAATCAGATAACAACTCATAAAACTAATGTCAGTAATGGCATGATTCTTTCACTGTGAAAGTTTGCAAGAAGTAGAGAAAGCCTTTTTTGCTAGAGAAGCCAAAGACAGTTTGCTCAATTACCTGGAACAACATACATATTAATAAATATTTGCTGAATGTGTGGATAAACATAAACAAGATTCAAGGTCATACCTTGGTATCAGAATTTTGTGGACTGCATAAAATGAGCTGTACAGTGTTAACCTCTTTTTTGAAAGCATTCGTATAAAATTCATATTTTTTTCTTCTGTTTTACAGAATTTACTGGTTATACTATCTGAATAAAGTTTTCTTTGTGGGAAGAATTTTGATAATAAATTTATTTCCCTTAATAGATATTGACCTACTCACATTTTTTACTTCCTGTTTTGTCAACTTTGGCCAGGCATGTTTCTCAAGGAGTATTTAGATTTTAATTGAGGTGTTAAATTTTAGGCATTACATTTTCTTTGTCGTACTGGTAGGATCTGTGGTAATGCTATTCTGTGTATTGCTGGTGTTGATAATTTCTTCCCTTTTTGGTTAATCATTCTCACTAGGAATTTGTCAGTTCTATTGACTTTTTCAAAGAACCATCTTTGGTATTATTGATTTTTTTTTTTTTTTCTGTTTTCTGTTATTTTGTTGATTTATTATTTCTTTCTTTGGGTTTAATTTGCTCTTTTTTTAAAATGTCCTAAAGTAGAAACAAACCATTAATTTTAAATGTTTCTTCTCTTCTAATAGCAATGTTAAAGATTATAAATATATATATATATTATTTAAGCATTGTGTTAGCTGCATGTAACAAATTTTTATGCTGTATTTTATTTTTATTGTTTAGGTTTTGGGATGTATTGAACCAGGGCTTTATGTGTGCTAGGCAAGCATTCTTAACGCTGGGCTTCATCTCAAACCCTTGGTATATTTTCTAATTACATTTGTGATGTCTTTGATTTGTGGATTATTTAGAATTACATTGTTTGATTTCCAAATATCTGAGGTATTTTGTTGTTGACATTTATTTTGTGATCAGAAAAGGTACTCCATAAGATTTTAGTCTTGGAATTTACTGAGATTTTATTGCAAAACATTTTGTGAGTTTTTAAATGTAATTGTATTTTGTAGTTTGGTATAGTGTTCAATAAATGTCATTTAGGCCCAGAATTTTGAAAATGGTAATCAGATCTTTTGTAATCTTATTTTTTCTCCTATATCCTCTTTATCATATCCTCAATAATTTCAGTATGGCAATGCAGCTGATTATGTTGAACTCTTCAACTATATTTATCCTTTGTCTCTTAATTCTCTTGGGATTATTTGCATTTACGATTGTGAAGTATTCTAATAAATTGACCCTGTTTTGTTGTGAAATATTTTTTTTACTCTCTGTTCTGCCAGTTACCTGCATCTGATGTTAATATAATCATCTTCCTTACACTTATACTTTAAATTATATAACAGTTTTCTTTTGCTGTTATCATATAAATTACATCTACTTACATAATAGACTACAAAGTACAGTGTTACTGGTTTTTACTTTAAAGAACACGTGCTTTAAGAAATTAAGAAAAGAAAAACAAGCAGTCCTTTATATTTACATATTCCATTTTAGTCAGTCTGCAAAATGGATAGAATTGGAGATCATGTTAAATGGAAGAAGCCGGAGTCAAAGACATCACATATTCTATAGTATATGGTGAGAAAGAGAGAGAGAGAAAGAGAGAGAGAGAGAGAGAGAGAGAGAGAGAAAGGAAGGAAAGAGTTCATTTGTGAGGATTCCTGTAGGTAAACTATTTTCATTAAAAGGACAATCTCTTTATTTTGCTTTCTTTTTTACTCTTAGCAAATGTGAATTATACAGAAGAATGGATTTCATTTTGGCAAATTCACAGCTGCAAGCAACGTATTTTGATCATTTCCCCTCCCCGCAACCTTCACTCCCCCTCCCCCATGTTCCCTTCCTGTTCTGTAATAGTAATAGTCCCTCTTCTTCCTTCGTGGCATCTCTCTGATTTTGGTTGTTTTTGTGTTGTTGCTCTGTGTGAGAGAAATACACAATATTCGTCTTTCTGAGCCTGGCTTATTTCGCCTCTCAGGATGATCTCCAGTTACCATTTTCCTGCAGATGACTTGATTGCATTCTTTATGGCTGTGTACTGATATGCACTCCCTTGTGTATATATACCACATTTTCTTTATCCATTCTTCTGTTGATGGGCACATAAGCTGGTTCCATAGCTTAGCTATTGTAAATTAAGGTACTGTTGTTAGCTATATAATTTCTGGGATAAAGCCAGGCATGGTGGTGTACACTTGTAATCCCAGCACTTGGGAGGCTGAGGCAGAAGGCTGGCTTCTAGTTCGAGGCCAGCCTGGGCTACATAGTTCAAAAAACCCAGAAAAATTTTTTTTCTGAAATGATTTATTTTTTCTTTTGTATATTTTAAGGGTCTTCTATCTTTTGTCTGCAGTGTTTTTGTTTGCTTGTTTTGTTTTCTTGAAACAGAGTCTCTCTATATAATCCAGACTGGCCTTGAACTCACTGTGTAGTCCAGGCTGGCCTTGAACTCATGGAGATCCTCCTATCTCAGCCTGCTGAGTGCTGCAATTACAGGCATGTGCCATCATGCCCAGCTCCATCGTTTCTGATGAAAAGTTTGTTGCTGTCTACACATGTTCTCCAGTGTATGTTGGGATCATGTCCTGATGAGCTTAACCATAAGTAAAAAGTACATTTAATTCACTAACTTCTGAGCATCGTAGCTTAGCAACGCAGTGCACTGTGGCCTATCAGTTCACTCTTGGGACCATATAGCTGACTGGTTGCTGTGGTTCACTGTGCTGCCTGGTATCAGCAGAGCATCATATTGTATATCCTTACCCTGGGAAAGGATCAAAGTTAAAATTTGAGGTGGATTTCTACTGAAAGTGTATTACATTTGAACCATTCTAAAGTTGAAAAAGTCAGGGGTTATCTGTATATTGTTCCTTCCCTAATAATAATGTTTCATTCTTCTT